CTGAATCATCAAAACTGAAAAAAACAATAAAGCTTTTAGAGAAAACAAACAAAAAATTCTCCAAGGATGAGTATAATTAAAGCTGGAAACTTGTTTCTTTAACTTTCCTACTCAAGCATTACTTTCATTTTTAAAATCCTATTCCTTTATTTATTTATTTATTTATTTATTTATTTATTTATTTATTTATTTAATGGAGGTGCTGGGGATTGAACCCAGGACCTCGTTCATGTTCATGCTAAACATATGCTCAACACTGAGCTATTTCCCTCCCCCACAAGCATTTCTTTAAAATTGAAAACTCTTTTATCAAGTCAATCTTTGGAAAATCAATTAAAACAGCTAAAACAGAAAGCCAGAGACTCTAGTAAATAATTCCTCAGAAACCCGTTTTATCCACCATACCCATGCTTGAGGATACTGTGCATTTAAAAAGTGCCACAATATGCTATTCTCTCCTCTTCTAATTTTCTTTAGAACTTAACTTATTTAGAGTCACATGAAGGGCTCTATTATTAATTTCAAGATTGAAAAGTTAAGGAAACAAACCCCTCTCTAATAAATTTCTCCCTCAGAAAATATGCTGTGAGATAGAAAAGGCTGATGGCTAGACAGATACTATAGAAATCTGTTTGTAGAGATGCCCTTTGCTTCAAGTTGGGAGCAATTCATTATGTCAGAGCAGGTGGTACCCACACCCCCAGGAATACAGGTGCTCTCCAGGTGTCCTTCCTCTCAAAGTTAAGCTCATTAGAGAGTTCCCTCTGTGTACCTTTTTAGAAACTTCTACTTCAGTGGTCCGATGAGGTTAACATATGACTCAAAGCAGAACTCCCATTGGTTTACACAGGGTGGCCTCAGGGATTCAGAAGCTGTTCTTGGAACAATGCACGTATCTTCTGACTGTGACATTCTGCCTAGAATCAATGTGCAGGCTGCTCTTCTAGAAGGCTGTATGGCTTATGGCTGAGGGGAATATAGCTGTGTGATGTCTGTCAGACGGGAGTTGGGGTGTTGTTTCACTCACCAGCAGTCTTTGG